ACAATTAAGACTAACAAGTTAAAAGAGCCTGGATAGCTCAGCAGACTAATGCATTGTAATTTAACTCCAGCTGTCTGCAATTAGTAAGTTCGAATCTCACCAGGCTCAAGGTTGACTCAGCCTTCCATCCTTTCTAAGGTAGGTAAATTGAGGACCCAGTTTGTGGAGGCAATAAGCTGACTTTGTAAAAATATACAAAGTATGAAGGCTATTGCTTAACGCATTGTAAGCCGCCCTGAGTCTCCGGAGAAGGGCGGCATATAAATCAAATTTTTAAAAAAATGAAATTAGAATTAAAACCCCATCAGTCCAGGCTGGTCAACCGAAACAGCCACGTTTTCAGGTCACGGCGGAAAGAGCGGAGGTCGGGGGCCACCCAGAGCTCCAGGAGCAGTTGATTCCAAAGGGTAGGTGCGCCCACAGAGAAAGCCCTCCCCCTGGGGGTCGCCAGCCGACACTGTCTGGCCGATGGCACCCTGAGGAGGCCCTCTCTGTGGGAACACACCGGGCGATGGGAAGCTGCAGATAGTCCCCCAAATATCCCGGGCCTAAGCCATGTAATTTAGATTAAGGCATGGAATTTCCAAACGTATATGATTGCATTTTGAAATGATTCTCTCAGGTGCAAGAAACCAGGAATGTAAAAAAGATGTTGAGATTCTAGAAAGAGCGCAGAAAAGACAACAAAGATGATTAGGGGACTGAAGGCTGAAACATAAGAGCAGCAGTTGCAGGAACTGGGTATGTCTAGTTCAAGGAAAAGAAGGACTAGGAGTGGCATGATAGCAATGTTCCAATATCTAAGGGGCTGCCAGAATGAAGGAAGGTCAACGTATTCTCCAAAGCACCTGAAGGCAGAACAAGAAGACATGGAAGGAAACTAATCAAGGAGAGAACCAATCTAGAACTAAGGAGGAATTTCCTGACAATTAGAACAATTAATCAGTGGAACGACTTGCCTCTCCAGAAGTTGTAGATGGCCCAACACTAGAGGGTGTGAAGGGATTCAAGATTGATGACATGCTTGACCCCTCCCTCAGGCTCAGCCTGGTCATCTCCTAAGATTCCTGGTTTCTTAATCATGCAATGATTTCAATGTCAGCTAACTCTCCACTCAAGGACTTCAAAATCTAAATTTCTCCAGGGAACATATTGGCTTGGTTAACAGTCACAGTTACTCCTTAGTGTGTGTTTGTGTGCATGTGTCTAAAGGTGAGGATGGTGCTCTGTGTAGCCTTTCCAACTTTAGGATTTAATGATTCCATATTTTATATAGAAGATAATAGATAACAGAATAACAGAGTTGGAAGGGACCTTGTAGGTCATCTAGTCCAACTCCCACACACACACACAAGCAGGAGACCCTACATCACTTCTGACAGATGGCAGTTCCATCTCTTCTTGAAAGCTTCCAGTGATGAAGCTCCCACAACTTCTGAAGGCAACCTCTTCCATTGGTTGATCAAACTTCGATGTTAAGCATTGCAGAAAGTAACCTTCATAACAAACTGATATTGTCAACTTGCAAAGCTTTCAAGTTGCCATGAGCAGGAGGGAGGGAGAACTGATAGAGCTGATTGATTTCCCTAACTGAAGCTACATTCCATATATGCTTTCTTACCGCAATCAGTAGGGAGGGTGTTGGATTTCACAGCCAGCCAAAGTGGTTAATTGGAGAATGTGATTTATGACATGGCCAGGAAGGAGGGAGAGACAGGGTCATAGGGAAATGTTAATCTACATGGGATTAGTTCTAACTGAATCTGAATATTGCCAAAATGGTGCTCCTAATAAATGACTGTATTTCTTTTGAAGTTTGGCTCGTGGCTCATGAATTAATTAGGGCATCTTTCAGAAACTTCACAGATATCATGTCTGAAATTGATCTGATGACTTTTATTAAAGCAGTTTATTGTTTATTTTTTTTTTTACTTTCAAACTTTGACTTTTGTTTCATATTTATCTCCAAGTCTTCTGTTAATATTGTATTTTTATTATCTGTCATCAAATAATTCACAAAGCTAAAGAAAACTAAATATTTTTAAAAGCAACTATATCAAGTTTGATTTATCTGTTCAATTGATTAGTTTTATGAGAAAATCACGATTCTTGTAAATTCTCCATTTTTGCCTTAGCAGTATTTTACACTTGTTTCAATTTATTTTTTTATTTTTTTTGGTTTTAAAAAACAAACTTGATTAGATTTTTAAAAAATAAAGTTGTATAAAACATTTACAACCTTAAAATACAATCAACAGTATCAACAAACAACAAACAAAGTATATATAATGTATATAAGTACACATATATACAAAAACTTATTTTCCTTTTTTTCCTTAATGACGGTGTATTGTTTATTTTTAAGGTAATTTTTTAAAATATTGTAATTTTGTTCAGAAAGAATGGACCTGAGTCAATTATGCATTTTATAGTTAAAAAGGTGAAATAAAAGGCTTTTTATTTATTGTGTTCTAATATGTTGATATTTGCAGGAGAGCATCCCCAGAATACTGGAAAAGGCTCTCCTTCCTTTTTGCTGTCCAGGAAATCAACAAGGATTCCAATCTCTTGCCCAATGTCACCCTGGGTTACAATATTTATGAACAATATTTCAGTGCACAACTGACTTTGGATGCTTTGGTGGACCTACTTTCAGATGGGGAAGCCAATGTTCCCAACTACAGCTGTGGAAGGCAGAGAAATGTAGTGGCTCTTCTAGAAGGGGCTGAAATAGATATTTCTACCCAAATTTCAACCTTATCAGGGATCTACAAAGTTCCACAGGTGTGTGTGTTCACTCTATTAAAGTCCTCTATTAAAAATGAACAAAAGAGTGATATTGTCATGCCCTCGTCAGAGTCTGAATCTGAGACGGAGGACGAACAGCTGACAGAGAGTGGGAGAGTAGCTCTGTTGGCTGTAGAGGAAACTGGGGAAGGGCAATGTCAGGCTGGTCACAGTAGGGAAGAGGTAGAACAAGGGAGAGGGGGTTCAGATGAAGACCAAGGCCCAACCCATCCTCACCCTAGGGCACGCAGGGAAGAACACAGAAGAGAACCACATGGGTTGCGTGGCTTAAGAGGAAGGAAAGGGCCCTGATTCCCTTCACAGGGCACACCTAGGGATGGAGTTTAAAGGAGAGGCAGTTGGGAGGGGCGTTGGGAACAAACACTGAATTCATCTAGTGTTGAGAGTGGGGCCAGCATTCCTGGCATTCCTCCTGACTGTTTGAATTATAGTCATGCTTCTGTGTGCTTATCTTGTCTTGCTGGAATTACTGCCATGAATTCCTCATTTCTGGAACTCATTATCTTACCTTGCTGGAGTGATTGATTTGCAGTCATTCTGCTTACAGCATTTGGACTGGAGCACCTGCAGCAAGAAGCTGCTGCAGGTTTGTGGGAGAGCATTTCTCCAGGCCGGAGAGTAAATGGGAGGTTGGGGACAAAGTTGGTGCCAATACCGGTTCTCTGGCTCTGTTGCCTTTGTGCCATACCCCGGATCATCACAGATATTACATACTGTACATAGTAGGCATTAAGGATGACAGCTTAATACACAAATGGAGGGAAGGATTAGAAGATTATTCCCTCCCACCATGGACACAGTCCAAGAGCTTCTTTCCTATTCTCCAAAGCACCTCCAGGCAGGACAAGAAGCAACAGCTGGAAACTAATCAAGGAGATGACCAACCTAAAAATAAGGAGAGATTTCCTGACAGTAAAAACGATTTAATCACTGGAATGGCTTGCCATCAGAGATTGTAGATCCTCCATCACTGGAGGTTTTGAAGAAGACATTGGATATAACCATGTGTCCAAAATGGTACAAGGTTTCCAGCTTGAGCAGGGGGTTGGAGAATAAGATCTCCAAGGTTTCTTCCAATTCTGTGATTCTGTTAGTTTGAAAGATTCTCCACCAAAGAAGCTAAAGGCAATGAAATCAATTCATAAACATTTGCTAGGAATCAAATTGTTGTTTCATTCAAGCCAGAATTCTTTTCTTTAATTTTGGATGTAATGGACTTTATTTATTTATTTATTTATTTATTTATTTATTTATTTATTTATTTATTGGTTCGATTTATATGCCGCCCTTCTCCAGAGACTCAGGGCAGCTTACAATGCGTTAAGCAATAGCCTTCATACTTTTGTATATACCTGCTTAGTAGGGCTTTCGGGGGGGGGCCCCCAAGCAATGTAGTATTTTATACAAAGTCAGTTTATTGCCCCCGCAATCCAGGTCCTCATTTTACCTACCTCGGAAGGATGGAAGGCTGAATCAACCTTGAGCCTGGTGAGATTTGAACTCGCAGTAATTGCAGGCAACTGGTAGCTAACTGCTACTTAACAGCACTCTAATCCGCTGCACCACCAAGGCTCTTGACCTTTAATTTTTAAAATTTTTAAAAATAATCTTTGACATTAAATTTAATGACACCTTTCATTGCTTTTCAGATCAGCTACAGTTTTGTTTCCCAGACTTCAAGTGATAAAACTCACTCTCCTTTCTTCTACCCGATGCTCCCCGCTGAAGGACTCCAGTACCCAGGGATGGTCAGGCTGCTCCTTCATTTCAGGTGGACCTTGGTTGGCCTGATGGCGCCAGATACTGACCAGGGAGAGAGGTTCAGGAGGATATTAACTTCTATGTTGCTAAGGAATGGCATTTGTCCAGTTTTATCACAAACCTTTTCCAAAACAATCTATGAGGTGTTCATAAATGTTGGTCCATACCTAAAATGGAGACAGGTGAACGTCTTTCTTTATGGGGCTGAGGATTATTCATTCAATATAGGGCTAAAGATCATACAACAAGTATTTGAAACTTTGAAGGAGTCGGTTAGAGGAAAAGTCCTGATCACAACAATCCGCTGGGATTTTACCATTTTCTTGGCACAGGATGACTTTCCCGTTCAATTCCTTCATAGCATTTTTTCCTTTCTGATGAAGAGGAACCACATGGCAAAATGCAGTGGTTTTATTAAGTTTTACCCCACCATGCATTACCTTGCACAGACATCTTTTACATGCTCCTACATCACAAATGCCTTTTCTGTGAAAGTTTGGAAACGGTGCAGAGAGAGAGAAGAATTGGAGGCTGTGTCCTTGCAGGAAATGGATCAGATCCTGTCTCTGGATAATTATTTCATTTACAACACTGTCTGGGCTGTAGCCTGGGCCTTACATGCAACCTATTTATCCAGATCTAAGAGGGCGAGGATCAAAGGTGGGAAGAACTCAGAGTCTGAAAGACTGAAGGCTTGGCAGGTATTTCTTTTCTGCTGCACATCACTCTTCTGCAGATAGGAATCAGTTTTACAGATGGAAGAACTATATATATTCATATATAGTTCTTATATACTGTATATATTCTTAACCTGAAAATAAAATAAAATAAAATTCAAAGACAAACATTAAATTGGATTCCAACTTTCCAGCTCATCTCTCTTTTGAATCCCTTTCTCTTGTTTCCTTTCTTTATCAATAGATTCTCCAATAAAAGAGAATATTTGTAGCTCAGGGTTGAAATGAGATGTCAGACCTGCCTCGGGTTGATCCTCTAAGTAAGAACAATCCTTAATTCCATTTATCAAGAAAGTTGGAAGTGGTCGATAGTATTAAGTCTCTGGGGGTGCAGATAACCAATAATCTGAATTGGTCTCTACACATGTCATCCTTAGTGAAGTGTGCAAACCAGCATTTCCATTTCCTGTGTTCTATGAGGAGAGCCACTTTTTAGAGAAATACAATTGAGAATATTTTAACAAACTACATCACTGTTTGGTTTGGTGGTAGCAGTGCCTCAGATAGAAAGTCCATTTAGAGAGTGGTGAGGACAGTGGAGAAGATTATAGGAAGCTTGCTTTCCATTATTCAGGATGCTGCTTATAAGTGCTATGCGCTTAGAGCTCAAAGCATTGTTAGAGACCCCAAATATCCACTTTATGGTCTGTTTCTGTTGCCCCCCTCTGGGAGGAGGTTCCAAAGTATTTTGAGCAGACTACTAGATTCTCTAATACCTTTATTCCCTATGCTATCCATCTGATAAACTTGCTAGATTCATTTTTCTTGCCATATACATGTATACATCTGAAATAGACTGATTTATGTTCCTTACAGCCATCTACTCATTAGCACTCTTTCTGAGAGCTTCTGCCTTAGTGTATTTTTGGGTTTAAAGTGTGTACATATATTGTCTTGGTTGAAAATCCTCCTGAGCATTTCAGATATTCTTGCAATGTATGGACATATAGTTCCTTTTTTACTTTGTTTCACTCGTAAAATTAATCTGATTATCTTCATTTTGTATAGACAGCGAGATCTTCTGTCCATCCCCAGCACAAGTGAGGGAGGGTCTCATCATAGAATGTTGGGAATCCATTCTTAAAACAACCATTCTCTCTTCTATGCCAGCTTCATTCCTTCCTTCAAAGTTCTCAGTTTTACAATAATTCCATAGAAGGAGTTTATTTGAATGAAAATGGAGATTTGGCATCAGACTTGGACCTTATGAATTGGGTGATTTTCTCCAAAACCTCAGTTAAGAAAGTGAAGTTTGGAAGTCTGGAAAGACAAGGATCGAAGGGTCTCACATTTATGATCAATCCAAATTTGTCTTCTGAGATGGAGGGGTTGAAGGTGGGAATATGTTTATTTCATGATCACTGAAGCTTTTACCAACTAGGTTGCATTTTTTGGGCAGGAACTGGTTTTCAATGTCATCAATTTGTCCTGTGTTTGTCTAGCTTTCCATAAGAAATATACCCTGATGTATTTATTATAATTAGAACATAGAATAATAGAGTTGAAAAGGACCTCAGAGGTTTTCTAGTCCAACCCACTGCTCGAGCAGGAAACCCCATATCATTTCAGGTGGTCCAGTCTCTTTTTGAAAGCCTTCAGCGATGGAGCACTCACAACTTCTGGAGGCAATCCAGTCCGCTGGTTTACTATCCTCACTGTTAGGAAGTTTCTCCTTAATTCCAGGTTGCTTCTCTTCTTGGTTAGTTTCCAACCATTGTTTCACGTTTTGCCTTTTAGTACTTTGGAAAATAGTTTAACTCTTCGTCTTTATAGGAGATATTGGAACAGTGCTATCATGTCTCCCCTAGTCCTTCTTTTCATTAGACTAGATGTACCCAATTTCTGTAGCCGTTCTTCATGTTTATTTATTAGTCCCACCAAATTATTCCCACTAGATTATTTATTAGTATTTGTTTTTAGTTTTTTTATTTATTATTTGTTAGTCCTGTCAAATGTAGTTAGATTTGATTCATGGGCAACAGGATTAATTTTGTCAAAGCAAAATATCCATTCTATTTTTCCTTGAATAATTACCATGTTTCCCCGAAAATAACACTGTGTCTTATATTTTTTTGAATCCTGAAATAAGTACTTGGCCTTATTGCCATGCACTCAAAAGCCCAATTGGATTTATTATCAGGGGATGACTTATTTTGGGGGAAACAGGGCAGTGGTGGGTTCCTCCCGGTTCGGCCCGGTTCGGCAGAGCCGGTAGCGGTGATGATATGACGTCACCGAATCGGTTCTCTTTGTTTGGGAGCTGCCCGCCACCCCGTTATTCTTACCTTTTATTTGGCACTGCTCCCAATCTATTCGCTGCCTCCCGAGCCCCAGCTGATCGGCTAAAAGGAAAAAAAACAGTTTAAACTTTTGCCACGGGGCTTCAAAGGGCCGCCCTACAGCTGATCAGTGTTAAAAGGCAGTGTGATGGTAGACCGGTACCTCCAAAAATAAAAGAGTAGACCAGTGCCTGGTAGGCCGGTGCCTCCAAAAACAAATGAATAGACCGGTGCCTCCAAAAATAAATGAGTAGACCAGTGCCTGGTAGACCGGTGCCTCCAAAAACAGATGAGTAGACCGGTGCCTCCAAAAACAAATGGGTAGACCAGTGTCTGGTAGACCGGTGCCTCCAAAAACAAATTTAGGATTTAGGATTTAGGATTTATTAGATTTCTATACCGCACTTCTCCCGAAGGATTCAGTGCGGTGTACAGCCATATTAAAACACATATAGATATACAAAATTTTAAACAATTTAAAATTGAATATATAAAAATTTGGCCCATAGATTAAAACACACATACACCCATTCTAAAATTCATATTAGGCCAGGCCGGCTTGTTGGAACAAGAGGGTCTTCAAGGTGCGGCGAAAGGTACGTAGGTCGGGGATGAGATGAATCTCAAGGGGCAGCTCATTCCAGAGGGCTGGTGCCCCCACAGAGAAGGCTCTCCCCCTGGGTGTCGCCAATCAGCATTGTCTGGCCGACGGCACCCGGAAGAGCCCCTCTCTGTGGGACCGTATTGGCCAGTGGGAGGCTATTGCTGGCAGCAGGAGGTCTCGTATATACCCTGGTCCTAAGCCATGGAGTGCTTTAAAGATGGTGACCAACACCTTGAATTGCACTCGGAAGACCACCGGGAGCCAGTGCTGCTCGCACAGGAGGGGTGTTACGTGGGTGCGCCGAGTCGCCCCCATAACCACCCGCGCGGCCACATTCTGGACCAGTTGGAGCCTCCGAGCACTCTTCAAGGGGAGCCCCATGTAGAGAGTGTTACAGTAGTAAATGAGTAGATCGGTGCCTCCAAAAACAAATTAGTAGACCAGTGCCTCCAAAAACAAATGGGTAGACCGGTATAGCTCTGCAAGCAGTTAAAAGCCTGGTAGACCAGTACCTCTGCTAAATCCTAAAGAATTGTCATATGACCATCAAACCATGCCCACAAAATAAGCCACGCCCACAGAACCGGTAGCAAAAAAATTTAGAACCCACCCCTGAAACAGAGTAAGTGTATATAAATGTAGAGTCTGAATCTAAAACTTTCAGTGTGTAAAAAATGAGGATAACTTGGAAGCAACATCCACCTGAATCTGTTGGATGAGCTCCAGTGTTTTTATACCGTTCAAACTAAGTAAAACTCAGTCTTGAATTTCAGATTGCTAAATCCTTCTTCCACCTTTGTCTCCTTTCATGAAATAAATTTATTTCTCAATGTTTTTCTCCCTTTTCTCAGCCCCTACCTCCTTCCAGATGTGTAGAAAGCTGTCATCCTGGATTTGTGAAAGTGGCCCGGGAAGGAGAACCCATCTGCTGTTATGATTGTCTTCCTTGTGCAGAAGGAACCATCTCCACCCAGGAAGGTGGGTAAGACTTCAGGAAGAAAAGATATTTTTTGTTCTTATTTTCCTCCCCCAAAACTAAGGTTCATCTTATACTCCAGAGCATCTTATACTCTGAAAAACATGGTAACCTTATGGAGTTTATCAAACTGTCTTCTGGTTTCAGATTCTGGGTTCCCTTCCTGGGCTCTTCTCACATCTTCTCAGCACTATTTGGTCTTCTAAAGGTTTAGTAACTGAGATGGTGATTTTGCTTCCTTCCTATCCTTTATCTTTATCATCCAATCTATATAATAGTCTTATCACTGAATTGACAGTGTTGGTTTCCTTGTGAAAGTGGATTTATTTCCTACCTTTATGACATAAAGTTGAGATTGAGTTGTTTTCCCTGGAAAGACATATTTTGATTTGTTGCTTGGGTCTAAAATTCTCCTTCCTTGCTCATGGTGGTGGTGGCACAGTGGTTAGAATTCAATATTACAGGCTGACTCTGCCCACATCCAGGAATTCGATGTGTAAAATGAGGACCCAGATTGTTGGGGCTGACCAACCACACTCAACGTGTAGTCCTCAATGGAACTGCATCTACATGGAGGGAAGTATGCAGTGGAGTACCCCAGGACTCTGTTTTAGGCCCAGTGCTCTTCAACATCTTCATCAATGACTTGGATGAGGGGATAGATGGGGAACTCATCAAATTTGCAGATGACACCAAGCTGGCAGGAATAGCCAACACTCCAGAAGATAGGCTCAAGATACAGAAGGATCTTGACAGACTTGAACATTGGGTGCTATCTAACAAAATGAAATTCAACTGTGAAAAAAGCAAGGTTCTACATTTAGGGAAGAAAAACCAAATGCACAGGTACAGTATATGTGGTATCTTGCTCAATAGTAGTAACTGTGAGAGGGGTCTTGGAGTCCTAGTGGACAACCATTTAGATATGAGCCAGCAGTGTGCAGCAGCTGCCAAAAAAGCCAACATAGTTCTGGGCTGCATAAACAGAGGGATAGAATCAAGATCATGTGAAGTGTTAATACCACTTTATAATGCCTTGGTAAGGCCACACTTGGAATATTGCATTCAGTTTTGGTCGACACGATGTAAAAAAGATGTTGAGACTCTAGAAAGAGTGCAGAGAAGAGCAGCAAAGATGATTAGGGGACTGGAGGCTAAAACATATGAAGAACGGTTGCAGGAACTGTGTATGTCTAGTTTAATGAAGAGAAGGACTAGGGGAGACATAATAGGAGTGTTCCAATATCTCAGGGGTTGCCACAAAAAAGAGGGAGTCAAACTATTCTTCAAAGCACCTGAGGGTAGAACAAGAAGCAATGGGTGGAAACTAATCAAGGAGAGAAGCAATTTAGAACTAAGGAGAAATTTCCTGACAGTTAGAACAATTAATAAGTGGAACAACTTGCCTGCAGAAGTTGTGAATGCCCCAACACTGGAAATTTTTAAGAAGATGTTGGATAACCATTTGTCTGAAGTGGTGTAGGGTTTCCTGCCTGGGCAGGGGGTTGGACTAGAAGACCTCCAAGGTCCCTTCCAACTCTGTTATTCTATTCTATTCTAATATACTGACATTGTAAATTGCTCAAAGTGCTCTAAAGCAGTGTGAAGTTATATATGTGTGTGTGTATGTGCTATTGCTATTTCTGAAAACCAAGTTAAATATACTCAGCAGGTGTAAGTTCATTTTCTATGTGAACAGTGGGGGACAGTCCCCATTTCTTTCTTATTGATTTCCTTTACATGCAATCATTCATGCTATTCCTATTTCCCAATACATTAAAATATGTGATTTATGAGAAATCTTACACTTGCTTTTTACAGATGCAAAAAAATGTACCAAATGTCCAGAAGATCGACATCCAAACATCCTTCGAGATCACTGTATTCCCAAGATTAAAACCTTCCTATCCTATCAAGAGAATCTGGGGATCATCCTGTCTTTATTTGCCTTCTTCCTCTCTTTCCTCACAGCCTTTGTCTTGGGAATCTTCATTAAATTCCAAGACACTCCAATTGTCAAAGCCAACAATCGGGACCTCTCTTACATCCTCCTGGTCTCCCTCCTCCTTTCCTTCTTCACCTCCTTCCTCTTCATTGGCCAGCCAAGGAGAGCCACCTGCCTTCTCCGACAGATAACCTTCAGCATCATCTTCTCAGTCGCCATTTCTTCTGTCTTGGCCAAAACAATCACAGTAGTGTTGGTTTTCTTGGCCACAAAACCAGGAAATAAAGTTCAGAAATGGCTGGGAAAGAGCTTGACCAATTCTATTGTCCTTTCTTGCTCTGGTATCCAAATAGTCATATGCAGCAGTTGGCTTAGCACTTCTCCTCCGTTTCCTGAGTCTGATCTGCACTCTCAGCCTGGAGAAATCATCCAACAATGCAATGAAGGATCCATCACCATGTTTTACTGTGCCCTCAGCTATATGGGCTTTCTCTCTGTCATCTGCTTCATGGTGGCTTTCCTGGCCAGGAATCTACCTGGGGCCTTCAACGAAGCCAAGCTGATCACCTTCAGCATGCTGGTCTTCTGCAGTGTCTGGATATCCTTTGTGCCCACCTACCTAAGCACTAAAGGAAAATACATGGTGGCTGTGCAGGTCTTCTCCATCTTGGCCTCCAATGCTGGGCTGCTGGGCTGCATCTTCATCCCCAAATGCTACATTATTTTCCTAAGACCAGATCTGAATACAAAAGAATATTTAATGTCAAAATAAAATAATCAAGTACATTTTGTGTAGGTGGTTCCCAAAAGTGACAGTTAATATTTTACCAGAGTTGGACACTTTATTGAGCTTTTTAAAAAATAAACAAAAGCTAAAAAATATTGTTCTGTTCTTTAGCGATTTCTACATTATTTCAACTTTATTATTTCTTCAGATGCTGGAAATGTTCTACCAGCTTTTAATAAATGTGATTTTCCCTTTTCTCTTTGCTATTGAGTGTGTAGTAAAGTTCATGAGTGTGTGTGGATGCATTCAGTGAGTGTGTAAAAAAAAATTTCCCAACCAAAGATGAGGACACAATTACCTTTAAGCACTTTTTTTTTTTAATTTGATAGAAAAAAGCGGGGACTAATATGAGCTGGAGTCCCTCCTTATGTTCTTATGTAAATTGGAACAGAGTTCTGATAAGGTATAAAAGCAAGTTATCCGAACTAGTATAAACAAGAATTTGATTGGATATAGAATCAATATCTAGTGAGGTTGATGAAACAATTGATTATGTACTATCATGCCAGCTCTTATAAAATTTTCTCCATGACAATATGTGCTTAAACTGGTATTTCAAGCCAAAATCAATCACATTTTTATCTTTAAAAGTCACAAAACAAACTTTTATTTATTTCATTGCATTTTATTATTTTGTTTTATTATTTTACTTCATTTTATTTTATTAAAAGGCAAAGCCCTTAGTAGGTTTTCAGATTCTCAGAGGAATTTTTTTCCTCAGCATTTTCAGCAATCACTCAGAGGCTTCTGGGCTCTAAAGTTTATAATTTTTTTTTCAGAAAAACAGCACAGAACTGCCATATAAATCTAATGTCAAAAGGCAATTTGTAAATCCATTGAAGTGTAGTGTTATATCAAATTTCATGAGGCAATTAGTATTGCAGAAATTCCTTTACTGTAACTGTATTCTCTATCTGATCTAGTTGGGTTTTTTTAGTTAACTGTGGGATTTTAAATTGGACTTTTAATGCTATTTAGTGATATTGTTTTTATTGTCATTTTATACTTGTGAGTCCTTCGGGAGAAGGGCGGCATATAAATTTTAATAAAATAAAATAAATAAATAAATAAATATAGCATTACTTTCACTCTCTTTCTGTCGTCAGTTACTATTTCTTCAAATTGTGTAGTTTTTAAAAATTGCTTTGAAGAATAACAATAGTTTTGTCCTTTGGCATGTCCTCTTGGGGCTTGTAATCTTCAGAAGGGAGTTCTTGAAAGTGTGCAATGAGATGGTTTTTTCTACAACTTCCTTAAAAAGAAGTTTTGAGTACCACACAAAAATTGTCCACTCGGATGATGGCTTCTTGAGGAAATGATGGCTACACCTCTTTAAGACATAGAAGAATAATTCCTTGTTTCAAGGTATTCATCAGTTCCAGAACTCAATCATATGTCACCTCTCAGGGAGCTTCGGCCAACCAAGAAGATCATGAATCTAAAGATCAGGTGTCTGAGCTCACAGTCAGAAGGACCAATTCTACTTCCTTAGATCCATCAATTTCAAAACATTTCTATATAACTGGACAAGACTGCACCTGAGACATCTCTCTACGACCTTTATATACACTGGCATCTACAGTGTTTCCCCGAAAATATGACCTACTCTGAAAGTAAGTCCTAGCTTGATTTTTACACGTGCACCCGATATAAGCTCTACCCCCCCCCCCCAAATAAGCTCTAATTAAGACCCCCACTAACACCAGGATGGACAGGCAAAAATTAAGCTAGGGTGGAGATGGGAGGGTAGAGCTGCCCTACTACTTACCTTCGGATAGTTGCAGTGAGGCCTAGCATGCCTCGGCCCATTTCTTCTGCAGCCAGCAAGGCTTTCCTGAAGGCCTCTGTAGCCGATAACAGAGCTCTGGATTGATCTGGACCAGAGGTGGGTTTCAGCAGGTTCTGACCAGTTCTGGAGAACTGGTAGCGGAAATTTTGAGTACCGGTAGTAAAAATTCTGACTGGCCCCACCCCCATCTATTCTCTGCTTCCCAAGTCCCAGCTGATCGGGAGGAAATGGGGATTTTGCAGTAACCTTCCCCTGGATTGGGGAGGGAATGGAGATTTTACAGTATCCTTCCCCTGGTATTGGGTGGGAATGGAGATTTTACAGTATCCTTCCCCTGCCATGCCCACCAAGCCACACCATGCCCACCAAGCCACGCCCACAGAACTGGTAGTAAAAAAATTTGAAACCCACCACTGATCTGGACCTCTGTTATCACCTGCAGAGGCCTTCAGGAAAGCCTTACCAGCTGAAGAAGTTTCTGAAGGCCTCTGATAGTGAAAAAAAAAGCCATGGGCAACACACACAAGTGAGGTGAAACAATGGATGACATTCGCACCCCTCCCCCCCAGAAAAAATAAGACCTGGTGCCTTTTTTGGTGGCAAAAAAAAATAATAATAAGACAGGGTCTTATTTTTGGGGAAACACAGTAATTACAAAAGAATCTAAGTGATTTTATTCAATAGATGCTCTGCAGATTCCTCTGCATGACCCTGAATATGAAACTCAGGATCCTCCTTACCCCAAAGGATTTGAGTCATTTTCAATAGGGCTGCCAGTTGGCTACCTGTAGGTGCAATAAAGGAGGAGAAATATTTGTGCTTTGCCACCTTTAACGTCATGAAATGGGTAGGCATTAACAGTGGCTGTCACTTGTGTTCACTTTTTTTTGTTCTGTGCCAGCAGTATTCCAGACCAGTGGTGGGTTGCTACCGGTTCTCCCCGGTTCTTGCGAACCGGTAGTGGAAATTTTGAGTAGTTCGGAGAACCGGTAATTACCACCTCTGCCTGGCCCTGCCCCCAATCTATTCACTGCCTCCCAAGTCCCAGCTGATCGGCTAGAAGGAGAAAATCAGGGCTCAGTTGACAAAGAAGAGGGGGAAAAAAAACAAGACACCATAGCTTTAAATTGAGACGCCAAGAAGCCTCCCAACTGATCAGCTAGAACCGATCCGCTCCTTTTAAACCACTCAGTGGTGGTAGATTGGCAATTGAGGCCAAGCTGCCTGAAAGCGGTTTCCGATGCTATCGGTGGTGGCAAAGCGGCAAAAAACTGTTTAAACTCTTGTCGCGGTGCTTCAAAGGGCCGCCCTACAGCTGATCAGCAGTAAAAGGCAGTGTGATGGTAGACCAGTGCGCTCCAAAAACAAATGGGTAGATCAATGCACTCCAAAAACAAATAGGTACATTAGAACACTCCAAAAACAAATGGGTAGACCGGTACGGCTCTGCAAGCAGTTAAAAACCTGGTAGACCAGTACCTCTGCTAAATCCTAAAGAATTGCCACATGATCATTAAACCACACCCACAAAATAAGCCACACCCACAGAACCGGTAGTAAAAAATTTTAGAACCCACCCCTGCTCCAGACATCTTTTAATCCAGAGATCCGGAATACCTAACTGGTATAAGACACTGGAATCATGTTTCCCAGAAACATACCACCCCATCTCCCACCCTATCACCCCGGATCTTTCACCACTGAGATGATTTAGGGTTCTTGTAGATTCTTAGGAGACCCTAATCAAGGAGCAAGTGGTAGGAGCCATGGTAGGAGTACTTTTACACAGATGCAGGTTGTGCATCAGTTACACCCACTATTAGACTGGAAACTCTTAGTCACTGTCACTCATATTTTGGTCACCTCCTGTCTGGACCATTACAAAGCACTTTACATGGGCAATCTGTTTCATGGTCAAAGATCCTAATCTTTTCCCCAGATAGATAGACAGACAGACAGACAGACAGACAGACAGACAGACAGACAGACGGATAGATACAAAGGTAGGTAGGTAGGTAGGTAGGTAGGTAGGTAGGTAGGTAGGTAGGTAGGTAGGTAGGTAGGTAGGAAAAAAGAAAGAAAGAAAGAAAGAAAGAAAGAAAGAAAGAAAGAAAGAAAGGTAGCCAATAGCCTCCCACCGGCCAGTCCGCTCCCACAAAGAGGGTCTCCTCAGGGTGCCATCGGCCAAGTCATGTCGGCTGGTGACACCCAGGGGGAGGGCCTTCTCTGTGGGAGCCCCAGCCCTGTGGAATGAACTGCCCCCGGAAATATGTAAGATCTCTGACCTCCGGGTTTTTCGCTGCGCACTCAAGACCCTGTTGTTCTGCCAGGCTGGGTTAGCAACATAATTTTAAATTGGATGTTTTAAATTTCTGGGGTTTTAAATTAAGCCGAATGTATTTAATATTTTTAATTATTTTAAATCGATGTTTGTCTTGTGTTTTTAAATAGGCTGTACACCGCCCTGAGTCCTTCGGGAGAAAGGCAGTATAGAAATAAAATTATTATTATTATTATTATTATTATTATTATTATTATTATTATTATTATTATTATGTAGGTAGGTAGGTAGGTAGGTAGGTAGAAAGAAAGAAAGAAAGAAAGAAAGAAAGAAAGAAAGAAAGAAAGAAAAGAAAGAAAGAAAGAAAGAAAGAAAGAAAGAAAGGAGAGAGAGAGAGAGACAGGGAGGGAGGAGAAAGAGAAGAGAGAGATGAGATAGATATAGATAGATAGATAGATAGATAGATAGATAGATAGGTAGGTAGGTAGGTAGGTAGGTAGTAGGTAGGTAGGTAGATAGATAGATAGATAGATAGATAGATAGATAGATAGATAGATAATAGATAGATAGATAGATAGATAGATAGATAGATAGATAGATAGATAGATAGATAGATAGATAGAATTCTTTATTGTCCAAGTGTGATTGGACACACAAGGAATTTGTCTTTGGTGCATATGCTCTCATTATTATTATCAATCCATGACAAGCCTAATAGCATTGCATCAGCAAGCTCTTGGAAACATGTTTTTCTCCAGATGTACTTGTGATCATGGAGTGACAGAGAAAGTTGAAGATGTCACCAAGGAGAAGCTTCTCCTTGTAATTAGCTAAACTCTAGCAATTGCTCTTTCTCCTGCTCCTCACCAACCCTCCAAAGTTTCCCCAAAAGAATCAGACTCAAGAACCAACCCA